GAAACCAGAGGCACTGGATCCCCTTGAACTGAAGTTACAGGTGGCGGTGTGTTTCCTGAATTGAACTCGGGTCCTCTGGAAGAATAGCGTGTGCTTTAACCACTGAGCCGTGTCTTTAGTGTCCTCAAACTTTCTTTTTAATCAGTAGTTAGATACTAATTTTACTGAGTTAGCTGGATTAAGGCTTCGCACATTTTTTGTGGGTCTTATACTAATGAATACTTGATTTATCTGTGCTAAGTGGGAACAATCATCTATTAATGACTGAACTTTCAATATGATAGCATTTTTTTCCAGGGAATAGTTATTAAATAGTTCCCCCATTAGCACAAAGCAAGCTGTTATTTTATTAAACGGATCACACCTCATAACTGTGCTGCTCTTAGATTTTCAGTGTTTGGTGCTCATGTTTACAGGAGACCATGTTTTAAGAGGCGTGAGCAATGCTGCCATCAGCAAACAGAATCTGAATTTTGTTTTTATAATGGAAAACTATCATGAAATGGTATTGTCTAGAGTTTGTTTATTTAGTTATCTGGCTACTGAAGCACTGGACTAAACCTTGGGTATCATGCATGGGACACAAGTGCTCTACCACTGAGCTGCAGCCCACCCCTTGTCTATACCTTTACTGACCAACTTCCACTCTCCTGCTCAGTGGAGACGTCTCTGTATGGAGCACCCTACTGCTACTGTTCTCTGGACCCTAAGCCCTCCCTTTCCCTTCTCCAGCTGGAGGCTCCAGTGCCTTCCCAGCCATTTCTATACAGCTGGCACAGAGACAGGGCTTTGGGAACTGTGGTCTTCTACTGTATCTGTTCAAATCCCAAAGTCCCTTCATGCTTGAGAGCCGGTGCTCTATTTACTTACTTATAGAGTAAGCAATAGACTTACTCTATTCTAACTTTGACATTAGACACACAAAATGATTTCTTTTTATATGTTTGTGTGGGTGGTGCTCAAATGCGTGTACATGTTTGTAAGGGTGGGCACTCGTTTGTGGAGGTCTTCATGCCTGCACAGCAAGCACTTTATCCCCCGAAGTATCTCCCTAGCCCTACAGCTTATATTGTTTTCAAGATTTTTTGATAAGATATTTTTGAGATTTTATAAAAAAAATGTAAAAACCAATACAAAACAAAACTTAAAAACAAAACCAAGTCTGACTATATAGGCCAGTCTTGAACTACCCACCCTGTATAAGCATCAGAAAGGGATGTGTCGTGACAACTGCCTCAAACGACTATGACAACAACACAACTTCCAGCTGGATGACATTCTACATGCAAAGTTTTGTTCTCTTTTAACTGTCAAATATCATGAAAAAGATATCCAAGATCCAGCCATGCTGCTCAAGAGCAGAAGAGTAGAAAAGCACGCCTGGAAAGAGGCGGCGGATGCAGAGCTCTAGTAAGCAAGCCCACAGCAAGGGTGCTGTGCAGGTAAAAGCACTCAGATGAGCCTCAGTGGACAAACCTGCTAGACTCATCCCTGCCCCCTGGTGGCCAGCGTGCACTGTCATAGGATGGCACTCTTTAGGGGACAGACCATGAAGGACACAGGAAGAGCCTGAGAGCAGCAGCCAAACAAGAGAACTGAGTACCTGAAGACAGGCCGAGCAATCAACTACTTGGCCCCTAACTTCTGATGATGACTCCTGACTGCCACAGAGAAATGTGCAGCTTTAACTGCAGTAGCCTGGGTGGGCTCCTGGGACTATGGACTGAAGAGTAAGTTGCTCCTGCAAGGCAGAGCGCTCTTACGAGAATGCTGGTGAAACGACACGTGCATGCTGGGCATTAAGCAAGGCATTCCTAAGTGGCAATCTTCATCCTCTGTTGTGACAGCTTGTCGTCTCCACAATTCTATATTGTACATGTGCAGCTTTAGTGGACAAGCCACTTTACTAAGAGCATCCATGGCTAGATTAAATTAACAGCCCATAGCGCTCAGAGGCCATGGATGAGAGATGAAGTAAGCAATCACAGGAGACCTGGAAGAGTCTCCTCTGGTAAAAGATACAAGATTCTGCATACTATATGCTTGGAAAGAACAGAACACGCAGATGGTGAAGAGTTAGTAAACTGGCCATGAGAAATTCTTTGAGTAGCTACTTACTGAACAGTATCTTCTTAGGCTTAACTGTTAGAGTTGGCTATGTGCTGAACTGGAGAATTACCACAACTTATATGAAACTTTACTATATATCTTCTTTCCTAATCTCCTTTAAGCCATGATGACCAGTTACGCTGATTCTGCTCAGTGGCCACAAAGGGGAGGTAGGTTCTTGTTGAAAGGTGGAACAGGAGAGCTGTTGACACTATCCTCTTCAGGGCAGGGAGGAGATAAGCACCAGAAGCAGGCATCTCAAACACCAGAAGACAATAAACATGAGGATAGAAAAGAAAAGGGTGATGATGTTGATGTTAATGTTACTGGCAGAATTGTGTCCCTGCAAAAGACAGTATGGAGTCCTAATATCACAAGCCAAAACAGGACCTCCAGGCTCTCTAGAGAGACAAGTTAAAATGAGGTCAGTCTGTGAGTTCAAGGCCAGCCTGGTCTACAAAGTGAGTGTAGGACAGCTGAAGCTACAGAAAGAAACCCTATGTCAAAAAACAAAACAACAACAACAAAAAAAGAGATCACTGAGGTATGACCTCAGTCAGGTGTGGCATTTTGGAATATCTTATTTATTTGTCTTTGGTGCCTGATAAAGGAAGAGTTTGGACAAAGACCAGCACAGGGAAAGTGCCCCTCAAGGTAGGGCTGGGGAGGGTGGCAGACTGGTAACTGTGAGAAGCAAGGAAAACATTCAGGAAGTGCCTGTGTTCCACAGCCCCAGAAGGGAGCTAACCCTACTGTTAGCTGTGAGTTAGGCCTGGGTCTTCCAGGCTGAGCGAGAAGATGTGGAAGTTTGTTTGTTTGAGCCATCTACTTTATGGTGCTTTGATACAGCAGCCTAGAATGGAATACAGATAAGAAAGGTTGAAAAAGAAGCAGTCTGCTTTAGATGATATCGTTTATGAAGCTTCCAAAGCCCCCTTTCTTCACTTATATGAGAAAAGAAAACAAAACAGGAAAAATAAATCTGAAGAAAAACAAAAATAAAACAAAACAACTGCAAACTATGTTGGTTTAAGTTTGTACCTAGTACATGCTAATAAAAGTTTGGTTTTTTTTTTCAAGGAGCCTTGACAAGTATGGTAGGGGAGAACACAGGAGCAATCCCAGAGTCACAGGGAAAAGGTGAGATATAGAAGATGCTCAGAAAATTGAAGCAGAACTGATCTGAGTTGGTTGAAATTGAGGCCTGTGAGTTTTATGGGCCATGAACGGAAGGGACGGTGACAGATGGGTATCAGGCTTGGCTGTGCAAGGTGTTTGTTGATGACTGTTAAGGTGTCCACTCTGGTGGCAGAAAACAGTGGGGGTGTCAAGTGAGAAGACCAGGATGGCCAGCTCTGAACCTGAGTCACGAGTGAGTGATATGACTTGCAACCATGGAAAGCTAGACTGAAGGATACAGTGGGACTCTACAGGGACATAAAAGATAATACAGAAGGCAATGGGGTAGGAAATGGGAGAAAATAGGTTAGGAGAGACCCTGGGAACTGGACTAGTGACATGAAGAGGGCAAGGGAGCGAAGTTATCAAGAGCCTTGAGAGCTACACGGTGAAACAATAACATTGGAATACTAAGAGGACAATACCCACTTTCTCCTCCTGCAGCATCTCAGCTGCCTGAGAACCTGGGAGACCCCAGTGTGGAGGGGACAGCAAAGCGCTGAAAGTCCTGTGACTTCAGAAACAATACTTCGGTTGGTATACTGTTCTTTCCCACTATTTATCTACTTACTACAGTTTTTGAGACAGGGTCTCAGGAAGCCGAGGCTGGCCCCAAGCCTGTTAAATAGCCGAACAGGACCTCTAACTGCCATGTGCTGGGATGGGCATACTGCATCTCCCACAGCCAGGCCAGTGTGCCTCAGTTTAAATCGGTATCTGCAGCCACTCAGCCAATCCGTCTTAAGTGTCTGCCCATCAGGCACAGGGCTGGCACAGGACTGCAGCAGCAGTGAGGAGAAACATGGCTGCAGGGCACTTACGCTCCCCACCTCGTGAAGAGTATCATCTAAACTAGTTCTATGTCTGCTTTCTCAGCTTCTGTAGTTCATCAAGACAAAATTAATACAAGACTGCATACCATTTGGCTGTTATCCTGTGTTTTATTTATTTTTTTAAGCAGCACATCAAACAAGAAAACAAGGGAGATTCTGATAGGAATTTTCTATGTCTGAACAATAGTTTGTTCTTTAGGGTGAAGTTTTTGTTGTTGTTTTAAAGAAAACCAGTATTATTAGACATTTTATTTGTTATTAAGGAAAAAGCAATTTGATAATTAAACCAACTTCAGATGGTAGAAGAGACACAAACAGGTGTTTTTGTTTTGTTTTGTTTTTTCCAATAAGACTACTTAGAATTAAGGTAACCACCAAGAAATCCTATCTATAATCTATACTAAAGTCATATAAACTGCTTACTTAGTGGGACATTTCTTTTATTGCTAAAGGAAATACATTTTGGCTTCATGATAGCTCTTTACTGTGCTAATCAAAGGCTAGCCAGGCAGAAGCCAGTGTAAAAGAAGCATCATGAGGATGGGTCGTTTGGCGTTCATGCTGGTACCATGGAAGGGCTGGAGTACAGGCTTGGTGCAGGCCAATGTCACTAAGATTGAAATGCTTTTACACAGGGCCTAGATGTCAGTGACTAAAGCATGAATGTAAAACTCCATCAAAATAAACAATGTATTTTACAAGTCCTTCTATTTCTGTCAGGGCTCTATCTGAATTTTTCTTATACTGTTACCATCCATGTGCCTTTTTATGCTTTTAAAGTAGGCACAAATTCAACTGCCCTCACTCAGAGCTAGCAATTCAGTGTCCTAAAGAAACAAATGGACTAACCCAAGAGCGCTACAGAATATGCACACTCACTCATGGTGATGGGCATCTGGGGAAAAGTGAACCATCCTCTTGTTACTGACAGGGCCAGGAGCAGACATCTGAAAAGAGATTTTCAAACAAATGACAAAAAAGGTCACAACTCACTTGCTAATGACAAAGCAGGGCTTCATAGTTTGAAGACATTTTTCCAAACAGAGGAGAGAACATTCATTTGCAATCCAACACAAAACAGCTAGGAGCAAAAGTCCTAGAGTGCTGGAGAGATGCAGGGCAGTGAGGACCTGAGTCTGGCACCCAGCACCCAACTGCAACGTAAACTCCAGGGGATCAGAAGCTCTATTGGACCTCCACACAAAAATCTTTCCACACAGATCACCTTGGTCTGACAGAGGTCTGCCGGGTTTCCAGAGCAAACATGGTGCTTTAGGAACAGAACGGTGGTGACTCTGCTGTCCACACACTGTTACACTGATGCGAGAGGAGGCATAACCACATCACTTCTGAGCAGAAGCTATTTCTGTGAACCTGCTTTTGTCATAAGTTCCTAAACAAAATTCAAGTGCATACAAGAACTTCTGTCAAAGGAGCAGTAAATGGCTCTTTTTATATATTTTCCACAAGGGAAGAAATTATCTTGGTATTTACATTGAACAAAATATAATATTAGCAAAAAGAACAGTATTTGTTTCTCTGTGTCTACATAAATTAAAAATTCTATTAAAAAAAAACAAACAAACAACCCAGCAAGTGTTTCACCTATGGTGTCCACAGTATTCCGGTTGGACCCAATGTTCTCAAATGAAGAAAAGGCAGCACCAATAGATGAATCTGCCACCATCAGTGATAAGGCATCAACTCACAGCAGAGGGCTGAGCCATACTCGCTCATCACAGAATTGACGCCTGTTTAATTACAAAGGAGCCATGTAAACCATGACAGAGTCAAACTGGTATGGCCTAAAAAAATAAACATTTTTGAGAAACTTTTTTCTTGTATCTCTTGAGCACTAAGGATGCCAGCACACACTGGCATGCCTAGAAACACAAGCAGGCTCGTATGCAGCGGATGACAGTGGTGCGCCCAGGGCTGGAGCACACAGGTAAACAGCTGGCTTGGCTCCAGGCCACATCCCGCATTCATCTTGGAGTACGGCTTCATGTTATTCCAGCAGGTATCCCTGGAACACAGTAATCCATTTTCTACACTGGGGCTGTGAGAAAAGCCGCCTGGGCCTGTGTCATGGTTTGTTAGACGTCCGTGATCACATTATCTCATGGCGGACCTGACAGTTTTATTCAGTTTACAGTATGCTCTATGTACAGGCAACTCGTTTCCTTTGCCAGGGCTGCTGACAGCCTTTTCCACACTATATTAATCTTGTTTACTGACTTTATCTTGGTACAAATATCAGAAAACTGAACTTTTTATCTCAGAGAAAAAATAAGCAGCATGTTGACAGAAGCAGGAGCTATTTTCGAGGCTAAAATTGCTTGTTTACCTAAAGCTACACTTACGGAAAAAGTGTTTAAGTCTTGCTCTGCCTTGAAATACATAATCTGAAATTTAATAAACAAAGAAATCTCACGTACCCTCATGTGATAAACGGCCTCATGAAACAACCCTGGGAATATGACACAACAGGACTCATAACAAGTTCATGTCACAACACAAATGGAAGCTCCCAGCCCAGGCAGAGGTAATCTGACTAGATACTCCTCAGGAACGGGGACATGCCTAAAAACTACAAGCTCCTTCAATTTCAGTAAATAATACACAGAGTTAAAGAATCAAACGTTGACATTTAAATGACTTTATGGTCATGGCCTTAGAAAAACACAAGTGACTATCCCCAGTCCTTTCAACTTAGTTATATTTTGCTTTCAAGATAAAGTAGTCACATTTTAGCTCATCAAAAATGAACTAATGTATCACTGCTGCTCCTCTGTACGGGTCACACCTCAGAGGAATTACTCAAAATCTGAACATGAAGCGGCTAAGGAGATGGCTCAGCAGTTAGAAGCAGTTGCTTAGGCAGAAGACCGGAGCTGTTTCCCGGCAACTACATGGTGGCCCACAACCATCAGTTTCAGAGAGCTGACGCCGTCTTCTGGCCTCTGCACATATCTGCTGCACACATATACACATGTAATAATTAATCTCAAAAGTAAAATAAAATAAAAGCTGGAGGTACAGGGCAGTGGTAGAGCCCTTGCCAAACACAACCCAAAACTCTCCAAAGTCAGATCATATAGTAACTAATTCAGAAAAGTTTTTACAAAGAAATCATAAACTATTTTAAGTCAAATCTCTTTAAAAAGCCAAATTAAAAAGCAGTCGAGGAGTTCTATGGTTTTGTGTAGGGCAGGATCTCACTGTACAGCCCTGGCTAGAGGGACTCTCCTCTGCAGACTGACCTTGAACTCAGATCTGCCTGCAGGTCTGCCTCTCTAGAGCTGGGATGAAAGGTGTGTACCATCATGTCTAGCCAGTCAAGTTCACTAGGACCAAAATTTTTATCACATAGAATTAGCAGAAGAGGTTCTTTGCGTTTCACACAAAAACCGTATTTGCACGATACAGAGTTCTTGGGAGCCGCAGAACTGAGAGGTCAACATTTACATAATTAATAATGATGAACTCAGACATCATATGGCAAGACCTAACTCTTTAGGGTTCAGCTGCTAAACATTAATACATTGCTAGTGAGTACAGTTCTAAACAAAGTATGTTTGTTTACATTATTTGTGTGTCTACCAATTAAAACAAAACTGCATGGCCAGAAAGAGAGGACTTTTATATTACACAAATTTTCTGTTGTGATTTCCACTTTCGCTGCTGTAATGGACTGCAGAGAACACTGTAAAAGACCAGTGACTACTGGCAGAATGGAAGCACGAGCGAGCCACCCTGTGCTGAACACCTCCCTCAGTTTAGCAGACACATTTGGAGCCAGGTCTTGTTCTTCTCCATCACGATGTTTAACACAGTGACTGGTGGTCTTCAAAGACCAACAGAGCAGCTGGTTTTCATTTTCCCATTGCAAACCCTCCTTCAGGTTTCAGTTGACATATTCCTCTCTGAGTCAGAAACTGAGCTGAGACACAGTTGTGAGATTGGGATAGAGGCTGCCCAGTGCGGAGGGCACACGTCAATACTCAGGATGTCTGCACTGAAGATTCCTGTAGCAGAATGCAGCTACATCCTATTAGCAGTATTAGAAACCAGCAGCCTTGCTCGCTCCCTCCAGCGACCCTTCCCATCACCCCTGTGCTCATTTTCTACTGCATGTGAGTTGCCTGCTGCACACTATTCTGCCTCAGTGCCCACACTGACAAACACTAACCATGGCAGGTTGCCATTCAAAAGAAGGCTTTTCAATTTGGTGAGGCCTGGCTGGTCAAAGCCCTGTAGCCTCGAGGCTGGAGGGAGGCAAGGCCTGAATCGCCTGCCAGTTTGTCAAGATACAAAAGTTTCCTCTTTTCTCAGGATAATGATTAATTTGACAATACTGAGGAGAGAAGCAAGTCTTTACAGTCAAACAGGCCCTGCATGAAGGCCTTAGCTAACGTGTCAGTCAAGTATATGTGACAGGCATTACGGAAAATAACCCAACAAAGACAAGCTTCAACATATGACTTTAAAGTCTGGCCGTGGGAAACAAGAGTTGGGGGTTAGGAGATAGGGGCGAAAAGCCACAAGGAACCTGGCTCTGGCTGCCAGCCTACACAGTTATCTTCATTGTTTAAAAGGCCGAGGAGCTAACACTCTATAAAGCAAATGGCTTATTACAGTTACACCTACAGAGGCTCTCCAGGAGCATGTCGGCTGAGGAAGGTGCGCTAACCCTGCTCCACTCAAATCTTTGCTACACGTTAGATGAGGTGAGTACAATGCTTCCCTGTGCCACCCACACTCACAATATTACAGACTGCTCACAATCACCAAAGGTGCACCATGGCCAGGAGGATCCCAGCACTCCAGAGGCAGAGGCAGGTGGATCTCTGTGAGCTTGAGGCCAGCCTCATCCACAGAGTGAGTTCCAGGAAAGCCAGGGCTACAGAGTAAACCCTGTTTTGAAAACCCAAAAATAAAGGTTGCAGTTACTTTTAAAGCAAAATGAGAAAAAATTACTGTGGAACAACTTGCAAAGACCACAAAAGTGAGGAATAAGGAAGGGAACAGATCCTCTAGGAAAGCAGTTGTATGCAGTTTAACCCCTCTGAATCTGAAGTCATCTGAGCACATTTTTAAAGAAATATAGACACATTTTTCTAAGAGCTGTTAAAATGACAACAAAAATTATCCTAATACATATATGCCTATGTGTGAATATATATATGAACACATACACACACACACACACACACACACACACAGTACACCAACATATAACTAAACAAAACAATGTAATTATTTCAAAAATCCCAGTTAACAGTCTGTATGTACTGGGAGTTTAGAATCATTAGCCTATAAGAATATCAATGATTATAATGAATAAATACATTGCTTCATGGTTTTGGTGTGGCCACTAACAGGGTTTGTATTTCTACATTACCATAGTAGTAACCTATGAGTAACGTCAGGGCTTCAGCAGAAGGGATGCATCACTAACAGGCATAGTGGCAGCTGCTTTCACACTGGTTCATGGCAATCTTTTTTTTTTTTTTTAATTTTTTTTTTTTTTTTTGAGCAACAATCTCAACTATAAGCAGCTCAGAATGATGCTCAACCGGACTCTGGTAGTTTCACTTTCCATCTAGTTTCAGCAAGCTATGAGTGGCCTCTACTGGCTGACCAGGGGGTTCTGAAATCCCGCATGCATGCAGCTTGCCACATTGTGGTTTCAAGAAGACAACATGCACTGACGTAAACTGTGTAAATGAGGCTGCGCTTAAGAGCCATGCAGATGGAGCAGAGCTGTGTCCACAGGACGACACAGCACTGTAAGATTTCATGAAAGCTGAGTGCTGAAATTACACTGAGAATTTGCACATTCTTCCCAAATGGCAATTTATACACCATAAACATGTGCTTTCTTAGTCAATCCAAATTGAAGCAATTCACATGTACTTTTAAAAATAAATGTTTTCTGTGACTC